GAGATGTTAAGGGTACAAAATGATAAGATATTAATACAGAAACCATACAAAAAACTTTTATAAATCAACAGTTAAGACCTTGACTCAATTGAAAAATAAAAAATAAAGAAACACCACACAGTTTCTAATATAAAATTTTAAAGAGTTAAAGAAGAATTTAAAATATCTTTATTTTTATTAATACATGTTTACACAGGGCCGGAGATTTAGCTCAGTGGTTTCACCGCCTGCTGCTCAAGCGCAAGGACCCGAGCTCGATCCCCGGTACCAAAAACAAAACAAAACAAAACAAATACATGTTTACACAAAGATAAACCAAATATTGACATACAGTACATATCTACTAAATTCAACAATTATACCACCATTAACAGTAAAAATAATTCAATAATAGCATAGAGTCAATTAGATACCTAAAGATTAATAAAGCTAAGATGGATTAGGTGGGAAAGGAGAAAATGAAAGAAGTGAAATTTGAAAAATAAAAGGAAGATGAGAAAGTGGAGGGAAAAATGAGATAAGATCCTACTAAGGAGAAAATAGAATTGGATAAAAGTAACAGAAAAGAACAAACAAAAAATAAAACACAAAATTTAGAAAAGAACAAAAGGAAAAAAATACGATACTCCCTACCAATGAAGAAAAAGAGAAATGAGTTTAAAAAATCCTCTATGTTGGGCTGGGGATTTAGCTCAGTGGTTCTGCTGCCTACTCCACAAGGGCAAGGACCCGAGTTTGATCCCCAGTGCCAAAAAAAAAAATCCTCTATGTTTTTGAGTAAGTGGTTTTGTTCCAGAGTCTACAGTATTGGAATCCAGCAGATATGAGGGAGGGACAGTGGGTCACTACTAAGACTTATTTTGTTTTCACACTCAATTTTTGTGTGAATGTTGAATCCTGGCCCACCTTTCCCACTGACCATGGTGGATCAATGATGTCCACACTAGGGCTGTAGTCATTCAACCACTCCTAGTTTGTGTGTCCCTGAGTACATCCCAAGTCAACACTTTTTCCCGCTTTACAGTGCATAGTTTTGTGAGGTGCCCTACCTTCTACAAAGGCCCCTCTGTCCATATACACCAGGCTGTGGCAACTAATCAAGCCGAGGTATTTCCCTGATCACACTGGCAGATGGGGAATGCCAAAAGACCACAGAATTCTGTGTTGGATCTAGATAGTTTGGCAGGGGCCTCAAGCAGTCCCCTGGAGTTAAAGCCAGCATTCTTAAATCCAGCACCCCCTGAAAGCCACACATGATTAGCCTTTCTGGGTTGAGCTTAAACTTCTCAGGGATCTACATAACCCTTTCCCTTTCAAAACTGTCTCATGGCCACCTTTTTCTCAGTCACTGTGGTAGGGTGACATAAAAAAGCCTGAAGTACAGTTGGTCTATAGTTTTTCTGTACCTCCTGTACCTCAGTCTTAAACAATTAATCCCTTCCTCAAATGGTCCTAATTAAACATTCTCAAATATGGCAAGTGGAGCATTGGACTTCTTCTCCAGCTCTAGCCTGCCATGTAAAAGGAGTCACTTTCAAAATCAAATTCCCACTGTTTTCGTAGATAACAATACTCATAGGCTTTTCCTGGGGCTAGAACTGCTGGCCTGATCTGTTTCCTTCTGAAGCTGCTGGCCCTTTCTGGGATTATCTTGTGTCAGCTGAGACAGGTGCCCCTCCCTGGGAGCTGGGGTTCCTTTTTTCAACTGTTTTAGTCTTTGCTCTGCACTGTTCTCTGTTTTTCTAGCTCCTCTGTAGTTTCTGGTTTTGCTGTCAGCTCCCTTCCAATTTCCAGAGATCTACTCCCACTGTTCTCTTCATCAACTTCCTGTTTTCTAAGTTCCGGAGAGGCTGTATTTTGCTGCCAGTCTTTATCCTGTCTTTTTTTTTTTTTTTTTAAAGGGAAACTCATAGGATGTTCAACCTTATAAGCAGAAATACAAAGTAAAATGAAGTTTCATTCTAAATTCATTCCATTCACAGATGAGGTAGCCATTGGTACCCAAGGTGTTGCTAGAATTGGAGTCCTCATCATGTGCTGGAATGATAGACTGGGCAGTCAGTGTGGAGGGCATTCTCACAGTTCTAGGTATAAGTTTTTACACATTTGGTTCTCAGCACTCCTACTCCTATTATATACACACAAAGGAACTCATGGAAAGTCAATAAGGGAATTTGTACAAAGATTTTAAAATAGAGGCATTAGAGCCAACCATTCCCTATAGGAATGGATAAAGTATGAGGCCTGCATACTAGGAAATACCAGAGTCATCAGAATAATTTACCAGAGCTACATAATACAAAAGAAACACATTTTAATAGCACAACATGAAAGAAAACAAGATCTATAATACAAATCCAGTTATTAAACACATGAACAGGATTTATTTTTCTACATATTCAGAATGGTCATAATGGCCCCTATGGGGAAAATGACAGAAATGGATATAGTTTGGAGATGATAAAGAAAATACAATAATTGTAGATAAAATAAAATACATAAAACATTGAGGTTGAAACAAGAAGCATACACCACAAATAATAACAAATGCTGGCCAGGCTGCTGGTAAAAAGGAACTCTTCTAACATTGTTGGTGAGAGCGTAAACTAATATAACCCCTATGGAAATTAGTATAGAGATACCTAAAAAATCTAAAAATAGAAATTCCATTTGACCCAGCTATTTCCCTTTTAAGTATGTTCCCCAAAAAGTTAGACATCATATTACAATGGTACATGCATACCCATGTTTATAGCAGTATAACTTATAATAGCTAAATCTTAAAGCAGCTTATATGTCCATCAGCAGATGAAGGGATAGAGAAAATGTGGTATTTATATGCAAAGGACAAGGTCCTGAGTTCAATCTCTGATACCAAAAAATACCCCAAAAGGTTGTAGGATACAATGGAGTACTACTGAACTATAAAGAAGGATAACTTTGAGTTATTTGTAGGAAAATGGATGCACCTTGAGACCATAATGTTAAGTGAAATAAGTCAGACCATAGCTTCAATATCACAAGGTTTCTCTTATATGAGAAACCCAAAATATAAATAAAGAGCATAACAGAAGATAGATATAAGAAAAAGCGAGATAAGTCTTTTACAAAAAAAGAAGAGACCAAGAAATGAGAAAGGGGTGAGGATAGAAAAGGGAATGGTGATGAAAACATAATTAAGATGTGTTATCTACATGTGCCAACTCCCCATGATATATGTAAACATTATGTACTGAAAATATGTACTCATAAAAATTTGAAAAACCCCCAAAACAGTGATCTCATAAGATGGTAATGAAGCTGAAGACTTCATATCACATAGTGATGTCATAGCTCAACACATTACTCACATGCTTGTGGTGAAGCGGGTGTAAACAGAATCTACTGCATATAAAAATATAGCACATAAAATTATGTAAACTAATACTACTTAATAATGACAATAATCAGGTTACTGGTTTCTGTATTTATTATTCTACATTACACTCTATTATTAAAAATGGAAGTATAGGGGCTGGGGATTTAGCTCAGTGGTTCTGCCTGCCTTGCAAGTGCAAGGTCCTGAGTTTGCTCCCCAGTACCAAAAAAAAAGGAAGTATATGATACAAGATATTACATATATGTAAGGCATTATACCAGAAATTTTAATGATATATAAAGTATTGGCCCCCAAATCACTTTACTTTATATAAGGACTTTGGACAAATTTTACTTACTCATTTTCATAGGACAGATACCAAGATAAAATAGGGCACTTATCATGGGAATTCAAAGTGAAACTTGGAGTATTATTTTTCAAATCTTTGAAATCTTATACTTTGATCTAATGAAAAAGAAATGTGTTTTGTTTATTTAAAGAACAGGCTGGAATAAAATAAATGGGGCATTCAAAATTTTTTTTCATGTGTTTTTATTTCTTTTTCTCTTAAGTGCAAAATCTGGACTCAGTGATAAATTAGAGAAAAACAAATAACTTCATATGTAGCTGAAAAATGAATTCAATGATGCTCAGATTTGTTTGATAAACTGAGAGACATAGGATAAATGATAAAAATTATGTCAACAGCATTAACTATGCTGATTCAATACATCTCTTAGAGTTCATAGCCATTTAGATTTTCTGGGAACATTGGTTGCATATTGTATTTCCCAAGGCATTTTGTTTTCCAAGTTATTTGATAGCTTTGAACTATTATTTATTAATAGAAATAGAGATCATATTTTCAAGATATTTCTTGCCAAGATCCTTCTATGTTCATAGATGACCAAATATTCCCAATGTTTATTCCATTTTTGCAGTTCACCATTGGTATACATTCAGTTTTTCCAGCCTTCTTGGTGAAGTGGAGCTCCAGTGGGTAAACCACTGCTCATTGAAATTCCTTTCCTTCTTAGTGCTTGTGTTACATGATAAGGGACGAATAATTAATCATATCTTAGGTATGCATTTTCCCCAACAGAATTAAACATCTCCTTTTATCAGCATAAGAACTACTGGTTCATAAAAGAAAAAAAATATATAATTCATCTAAAAATTAAAACCTAAAAGATTTGTAAAATTGGTGCAATTTTTGATTTAGTAAATATTTTCTCAACCAAAGTTTAATTCCTTTCATAGATAAGTGGTTTTTTATTTTTATTAAAATTTTTGGACTATGTTTTACTATTTTGAGACAAACTCACATTCACTAAAAATTCCCTCTCTTAAAGTTTTGTTTTGGTCTTTTAAAACTCTGGAAGAAGCTCTAGGAAATCCAGTCTTTGTGAAGCAACTTCTGAGATTCAGGAATTTCTACTTTTCATGCATACTTTTTCTGTTTTTATTCAAGTTAAAGTAGATAATTTTGTAAAAGAAAGTTTATGTTTTGGCAAGTGTGAAGATGGTCTTTTTTTTGAAGATGGTTTCTTGTATGAATTGTATCAACATTTTGGAGAACTGTTTGGCAATTTGCATCAGAACCATTTGTCCATACTGATTGATTTAATTATTGCATTTCCAGATATATCTCCTTCCATAAACAGTTCTGTGAAGAACTAACCAGGTATGTGACAGAGTGTATGCTTTCTGATTTTCAGCTACCAGTGTCTGCAGTGCTTTCTTTCCTTAACAACCAACAAGGGCTGTTCTGTCTGCCAGAAAGGCTAGGAAATTACTATCATCTTCCCAGAGTGATTTCCAACCCAAGTCTTATTTCTTTGTAAGGTAAATCTGAATTGTGTGTTCTACATTGTTTCCAGAATTTAACTAAAGGCATAAGGTTGTCTACAGCATAAGCCAACTTGACAATGCCCTCTTCAACATCTTTCCTGTCTTGTCTTCCCTCTCTACTCCTTCTTTTACCTGCTTCTCTCAAGTAAACCACCTGCCTTGGAATCCTTGGCCCAGACTGTACTTCTGAGGGAAATATAAAATAGTACACAACCTGGGTATGGTGGTGCATGCCACTCAGAAGGCTGAGGCAGAAGGATTTCAAGTTCAAGGCCACCCTAGGCAACTCAATGGGACCTCATTTCAAAATTGTAAAATGGGCTAGGGATGGAGCCCAACACTAGAACACTTGCCTAGCATGCATGAGGCCTTGAGTTCAATCCACAGTACCCACCTCTCCCCCAGAAAAGATACTCTGCATGACAGGCCTGTAATTAATTGGTTACCTGAAATGTGCATGTGGTGTAAACACAAAAATGTGTTTACAATATAATTGTATGTGTGTGTGTATCTGTGTGTGTGTGTGTGTGTGTGTGTGTGTATAATTGTATATTGTTTGGGGACATAGAGAAGATGACTTTTTCAAAGTCTAAGCCTTTACCAATAGTTCCAGATAAAAGGCAAACTACTCAACTGTTTCTACCTAGGAAACAGATAATTCTTACATCAGCTTATATATCAAATCTTTAGTAAGAAGTCAAATGCTCAGTATTGGGCAGTTATGACAGGAGAGATCTTTGTGCACAGAGAAGAAGGGGATAGAGAAAAAATAGGAACTGAATTTTCCATGACTAAAGAAGAAAAATATATGAGATCGATGGGTAAAAAGAAAGAATTCTGCAAAATTTTACAAGTGTAAGACAGTGTAAGAATAAGTATCATAAAATGACTTTCTAGTGACCATAGTCGATACACTGCAGGCGGTTATCACATAATGTTTGTGTACAATATTCAAAGCAAAGAAAAGATAAAGGTGAAGCTATGGGAAATAGCTAACTTAAAGAAACTCAATATATTTTACTTCTTATAGAAGCTAACCAGGAAAAGCTTGTCTGCTTATCTTTTCATTAGAAATTTGACTGACACATTCTACTAATTGAATGAATAATTTAGGAATTAAAGATACAGAATTAAAAGATCAGTGTAATTTCTGTTTGGTCCCCAGATAAAGATTACTCATCAACACTGCACTGTCTCTTGCTTATCCCTTTAGCTCTCAAAAGATTATGTTACCCAACACTTTAGAAAATAGCAGTTTTATTGAGAAATAGATTTTGTCCCATCAAATTTGATGAAACCCCCTTCTAATCAAAATAGCTACTGTTAAATTGTGGCTGAATTTTGAATGACACAATAATAGATGAATTTTTAATACCAAAATCTCCTTTGTATTATATTGACCTTTATTTGGATTATAAATTCTAGTTTTGAAATACAGAGATTAAGTACTTTTGAGAAATGTATCCTGAAACAGTATGAAAACCAAAACTTTGGTTTTGTAATGCTTTATGAATTTTAAAATTTCCTTAAAGTACTGCTTGAAATGAACATATCTGTTAAATTAAAATTTTAACTCATAGTTGAAAAGTTAGTAAGTTGGTCCTAGTAGATTAGTAATAAAATTATTCAGTTTCAAATGAGTTCAGAACATGAGAAAGGGAATAAATGGAGAAATAATTATACTAGACAAATTACTGACAAAGTCCAATTAGTGACAATTTAAGGTGCGTTACAATTCTCCCATGTTATGGTTAGAGCTACCACTTTATCTTATAATTGATCTATTTCTTTGGATAATAAAGAACATTAAAAATACAAGAAAGCAAAAAAATGAATATATTTTTAACTTTTCATAAAACATAACAAATTTAATAGCTGTAAAGTAGGAAAGATAATCTCAAAAGAATTTTGAGCAAGTACAGACTTCAAAAAATTTATTGCAATTATTCTGACTGTTGAAATTTGTCACCTAGGGGCACTGTTCTGTAAAGTACTGTTTAGGAACCACTATTTTGACTTCTAATTATAGGAAAGTGGGTTTTATGTATAATGTTTGTCTGTGTTGCCAGTACCTCAATAATTATGGAGTTTTTTTTTTGGTTGTTGTTGTTTAACTGTTTATGAAAATTCATGGTAAAGCTTTTATTTTTAAATTTTTTCCTACTACATGTTAATTTACATTTACACATATACATGCATGTATGTATGTATGGCCAGGACTTCTTTTGCCCAGACTGGCCTTTGAATACCTGGGGCCAAGTAATCTTCCTGCTTGAGCCTCCCAAGTAACTATGATTAGAGGTGAGTGTCACCACCACCATTAGTAAAGTTTATTTTTAGCAAGTATTCTAATGGAAAGGAGATGTAAGTTTTGTTTTACTATACATGTTAAGAATTTAAAGATAAAATAACTAACCATAATATTATACAGAGTCTGCCAAAAAATGTACACACAGTTCTGGAAAAGAAAAATACTATGATGTATTTTTAATAGCTCATGTTACCCTCATGTGGATGGGTAGAGGATGTTGTATATTGCAGAAAACCCACTACACTGCTGCCTCTTGGAGAAGAAATTGAAAGTGCATCTGCAGAAATCCAACGACCAAGGTTACCCAAGCAGCAGTTCGCTGTACTAATAAATGTCTGGAAGCTCATGGCCACCACTTAGAGCACCTATTGTAATTGTAGAGGCCACAGGTAACATTTATTAATTTCATGATGTCTCAATAAATCAGTATTAAATATTTACACATTTTTTTCTGTTCCTGAAGTGTGTATACATTTTTGGGGGTCAGATTCTGTATTTTCTCATAGTCTGATAATTTTGTTCTCACTTCCATGGAAATTATGAACTATGCAACTAATCAGGTTTCTGTTTTGAAGATGACTTCTAGAAAGCTTAGGGGACAACTAAGCTAATATGTAGCCCAATCTTTACAGGCAGAATCCTTATAGAATTCATTTTTTTGTGGGCAGCACTGGGGAATCCAACCCATGGCCTTTGCATTATCATAACCCCATTTCTTTTTCACTTTTGGTTTTGAGAGAAGGTCTCACTAATTTTTCAGAGTCAGTTTTTGGTTCCTGTCTTGGCCTTACTGGGTGAATATTGCTTCAATCCCAGCATCAGTGTGAAACCATTGATCAGTACACATGATCTGCATAACTCTTGACTGAGACACCCACTCTGGGGTCTTGGTGATTGAACTAAGTCTTATCTCTGAGTAATCACTCATTCTCTACACTACTACCTTGTCACACACTGTGACAAGTGGTGCCCATGTGTGAGGGTCAGCATAGAGGACCAATCTCCCAAAGCCTGGAAAAGGAACAAGTATGTGTTCAACTCTTCATCCTGGTAAGGGGATATAAACAACCATGGGAATAGCCTGGCATGTTTATAGTGAAGTTTAAGGTTAGATTTATTAGCCCAGAGATCTTTTAACTGTCCAGTTTCTAAGTGGAGGCAATTCATTTGTTTTTAAAATGTCTCTTATACTCCTGTTTCTCTTCAGATCGTATAAATCTTTCGCTTTTTAAAATGTCTCTTAAAAATATCTAACTGTGGGCCGGGATTTAGCTCAGTGGTTTTGCTGCTTGCTACGCAAGTGCAAGGACCCAAGTTCGATCCCCAGTACAAAAAAAAAAAAATCTAACGCAAAACAAAATTTTAAAAAAGACTAAAATGAAAAAGGGAAATATAAAAAATAAAAATATGAAAAGGAAAAAGCTAAAACAAAAAAAGAGAAAAAAGGCTAAAGGCAACAAAAGTCAAGCCAGTTAAATATGCTAAACTGGGACAGATCTATCAAGAAAATAGATACTTCTATCAGTATTGTTTCAAAGGCTCAAAAGCCATGGCAAAAACATCTGAGAATGCATTCTGATTATAACACCTGAAGCTGCTTTGTTTGAGCTCAAAATTGTTTTCTATTTTCTTTCGGCTCTTTTGAAATTTCCATGGAAAACTGTTTATATGGGTTTTCAGACAAAACTTTATCTTAAATGTTTGTGGTTCACATAGCTTAACAGTAGGTCAATTTAAATCAATTAATAAAAGTAAAAATGTCTTTAAAGTTAATGACATGCTTCCACTTAGGTTGTCAGTAAATTAAAATGATATAAAAATTTTGTTTTATAAATACAATGCCTATTGTCTATTGCAATAATTTGAAAGTTGTTCATTGATATTTAAAAAATGCACATAAAAATTGGACCAAAAAATCCTATAATGAATAAAAAAACCTCTTATGAGTTAAAAATAAAAGCTTCTCAACTCTAGAGTGCTTATCAGTACCATTCTTACAAATGTAAAATTAAGGCCTTGCTTCTTTTGCCTCTGGAGTCCGATTTGGGTCCAGACAAGTAAATTTATTTCTTTTGCAATCAAGGACTTGCCTAGGAAATTCCTACATGCAGTGGGTCCTAGAAGAGACAGAGACATGTCCCACCCCATTTTTGCATGGCCTGCTCTGCCTAGGATGTTTCATCTACACACAGAAACTGTAGAACACCTGAGACTGTTGTTTTAAGGACAGTGAAATCAACACAGGGAAAGATAAAACAGACATTTGTGGTGAACAAAGAACCTCATCCATGAGCCAAAATTAAAAAATTGACTATAGATATTGCTTCATGGTCGTCAAGACGTCCTTCAACTAGCATATAAAAATGTCAAAGCTAATGTCAAACTCCTTAAAAGAAAAAAATTTAAATATTGCTGAAACTGATTAAGGCTTGCCAAGATGTAGAAACTGAAGTTCCTAAGGCACAAATATTTGCTGCTGCCTTCCAGCCTCAAAAATGTTATAACTGTGGCAAAGAGGGACATCTTCAAAAAAACTACAAAAATAATAAACGGTAAAAAAACCAAGCCAAAATAAAAATGTCCTAAATGTAAAACAGTATATCACTGGCCAATCAGTGCCACTACAAATTTGATAATGAGGGGAGCCCTATTTCAAGAAACAGGAAGAAGACACAACTCTCTGTGCCCCAATGAAAACAAGGAGTCAATCATAAAATGTTCATGGTCTGGCATGGGAGCCAACCTACAATCATAAGAGCTCACTGTTACAAATCTTAGCTAAATGATAAATTCACTTTTGGCTTCCAGTTTGGATTGGTATTTTTGTTTAATTAATATGCTTAAAATATTTCTTGGGCATTGTAAATTCTTAGACTACAATTATAGGGTTAACCTGTTCTTTCTGCTTTTTGTTGGTACTGAGGTAATTTTGCCACTCAAAGTTACTTGAAAGTCTCTTGGCAACCAGTCAAATTTAAAAAATGTAACAATCTGAAACTAAAAAAAGAAAGAGAGAGAAGAAGAAGGACACTTTAAAATCCATGGCTGCTGCCAGATTTGTTACGAAGTTTATAGTAAGTAGCATAGAAAATATATATAAAGAAAGCTATAAGAGGTATGTTTTTGATATGAGAGGATAAAAGTTCTTGCTCTACCAGGATAGGAAAAAAGAGAGAAAAACTGCAAGGCTCAAGTACTATATGTCAAAAAAGGCTTGTGGAGGATACAGTTTATAGAAAGAAATATGTATATTTGGTTATTTTAAGCTTTCCTCTTGTTGGTTTGATCAAACCCAAGCCATTCCTTCTAAAAGCTCCTCGTTGCTCTAAGATTTGTGGGCTATGACCCTGATTCTTTTCAGTCACTCCTTCCCAATTCTCAGCTTTCCTCTCCAATTTAATTGATGTTTTCAAACAAAGGCCATAACTCATTTCTAAAATTGATACTAAACATGAGCTTTTCTGAATAACAAGTAGAGACACCTTAACTGGTCAATGACAAAACACAGGACAAAGCTGCCTCCTTGGACAGTTCCCACCTAATCTATGATACTCATTATTGCTAACTTCATAATATATCAAATCTGTTTTCTCAAATGTACAGGGCTCCAAAAATGCAAAAATGAAAAACACCTCATCATACTGGTGACTTCTAGGCTAAAATTATTTGTAATGATAAACTTTGAAACTCCAATATCTGGCACCTCCCTTATTTTTTCCCGACTATGATAAAATATACATGCTAATATCACATGAGACAGACAACCAAAAGGTACAAATACTTTGTCAAGGCTTATGTAAAAATGCTCAAATACTGCACAGTCCAGGCAATATACATAAAGTACATCATTGGATGGAGGGGCTGAAGGGAGGTCTAGGAATGGGGAAAAAATAAGAACCAAGATGCATCATGTAAAGGTACAATTCCCAATGAGAAATGTAATTGTGTTGTATACCTACAATGTACCAATAAAAGAATTTAATAAAGTGAAAAAAAATTAAATTAAATTAAATTTTAAAAAAAGAAATCTTTCAGTGATCTGACGCCCATGAGGCAGCATTCAGCTGGTTCAGTGAGCACCAATAACATAGTCAACTTAGTTGTGATGCCAGTTACCATTCTGTGTACATCACACCTATCCCATTTAACCATTTAGAGTCCTAAGAGGAAGTCCAACACCTTCTCCATGATCCCTTTCATGCAAATCTGGATGAAGAGATTATTAATCTCCAGGGCCAACTGCAGGCCCAACTTTATAAATTACAAATGGAAGCTTGCAATATCACCTTAAATCACTTTATTGATATTGTCTACTGGCTCAACTCCAAAAATTTGTTTTCCTTCCTCAACCTTCACATTTGGATTCTTACAACTAATGGAATTATCTTTTTGTTGTTTTTTTCTTAGTCCTTAAGGCCCTTTGTGTGCTGTTCCAGGGGATGCTGCTGATGAACTTCCTGCATCAAGGCCAGTATTCACCCACACTATATTCCTCTCTTCTTCCTCATCCCTGATTCTGTAAAACAAAAAAGGGGAAAATATGGGGGACTTGGTTAAGGAGGGAATGGTTAAACTGTGGGGCAAAACCATTCAGGCTCTGTGAGAAATGAATGGTCAGACAATAAGAAGTTTAGATTAATGAGGCATGTTGTGTTTGTCTCTTGTCCTTCTCCTGTTCCACAAAAAAACTTCTAGCCTTGAGACAGATCCTTCCCCAAACTACTTTTCTTCTTTTTTCTCTTATACTGACATTCTAGATAAAAGCTTGAGTTTGCCGCTTTGGTGCAACTCCTGGGAGTCTGCCTAACTCTGGCTGCTCATAGCTGAGATGGCCCCTCTGGGGTCTCAGTGATTGAACTAAGTCTTGAGTCTGAGTAATCACTTATTCTTTATGATTTCATAGTCACAAACTGTAACTCCGTGGTACCTTTGGATTATGTAACTTGTTTTTAATTCTTATACAGGTTCACAGCTAATTCTGCCTTGAAGTTTTAGAAGAGACTTTGACTTGGACTTTGACTTTGGAAAAATGTTGTTTGAAAAAATGAAATACTGAAGTTTGGTGAAGGGATTGTTGTACTCTTTATTGTATGCAGGATAGTTTTAATATGTTAGATCCAATTATTAGCTTGTTACAGTGTTTATTTGGAGACTAAGTGTGGATTTAGGAGATGTGTTTGGATGTCAAGTTGACCTGGAGTGGAATGTATTGGTTAATCTTAACTGTGTCAATTTAATTGCTTTGTGAATCACCTAGGAGATTAGTAAAACACACTCTGGGTATGTCTGGGTGCATCATGGAGGTGTGACCTTGGGTACAATTTATTGTTCCTGGCTTCTTCCCCTCTCTCACTGTTCCTCTGCTCTGCTTCCTTTCTGCAATGAACTAAGCAGATTTATTTCACTTCACATTTTTGCCATAATGTTTCTGCCCTGGACTCTTTGAGTATGGACTGAATCATTTGAAACCATGAGCAAAATTGAACCTCTTCTCCTTTGAATGGTAGGTATTGGGTATTGTGTCCTACTGGCAGGAAACAAGACTGACATGTTCATAGTGTCTTGGCTGCTCACTGCAGACATCTGCTTACTCATTCCAGCATGTGCATATGCATTGGCTTACCTTCCATGGCTCTAATGGGTAAGGGTGCTTCTCACAGACCAGGCAGTGACATCTAAAGTGGATACAGAAAGATGAATCATCTGGAGAGTCTGTGAGGTGTCTGAAGCTCTTGAGGGAAGTTGAGCCCTCCTCTTCTGTGTCAGTATAACATTTCCTTATATACATTACAATATCAGCTGAATTAATTTTTTGCATTAGTGAATTGTCATATTCCTTTATAAATATGGATCACTTTTCAAAAATTTTTTTCAATTTCATTGTTGTGAAATATCTCTAATAAGTGTTCTCTTACTATGAAGTTTTACTGGTGTCTTTTTCCCAAGCCATTTCATTCCTTTAATCATATACACTTTATTTATGTTGATAAATTGACCTTCACTAAATTCTTCTGACTGTTTTCTTGGATCTTTCAAGTGGTAGCAGTATCAACAGTCCCATGGCCAGCTATTTTTTCTGTCAATCTTTGGCTTTTAAAAAATTCTAGTTCCAACGTTAGTATTAGTTTCTTTGTTGTACTTTCACCTTTGCCAGTAAAAAACTATCACATGGGTTTATGACTGTGAGACAAGAAAGCACAACAAGCTTTGCTTTTGCCTGAATGGGATAGCAATGTTAGAGACCAGAAGCAGTGTCATAGCTGGTCACTGGGTGTGATACACATTGGTTACTTAGGTAATGATTTGTAGACTCTCAAGAGTCAGCAGTGGAATTTGTGCTTTATGCTATTACTCACAGTTAACATACTGTGCTAACCAAAATTGGAACTGTATTACTGAGGGGTTGGGATTGACAGAACTTTGGTGTCTAAAATGCTTGGTCACTAAGTGTAATGCTTATCTGTTACTTAAGTAATGTTTTGTAGACTGAAGAGCCAGGAATTGTGCTTTGTGTTATTATTCACAGTTAATGTACCAAGATAACTCAAATATGACACATATTAGCAAGGGTCAAGTGTATTATAATGTAACTGTGGTAAGTAAACTTTGTACACATTAAAACTCTGCAGTGTGAAGTGCTTGGATACACAGTGGAACTTTGCTAAGATGTGAGATGTGGAATTTAGAATTACATGAATTTTAGGTCCCATCCAAAGAACTTTGTTTTAAGAAGTTCAAGTTTTCCGTTACATCACAACCCACAATCTACCTAGTCCCAAGATTTGAACCAATAGAAAAACAGCTTGAAGGAGCCACTATATCTTGATCAACATGATGTTAAGGAACAAAATGTATACTTTGAATATCCTTATGTTTTGTTACGTAAATTTTACTTCTGATGCCAAATAAAGAAATCACACTGACAAGACCAAGCTGTCCCCTTTCCTGTTTTTCCCTTCTATTTAACAATTAAACACCTCTTGAGATGGTGTGGAAGAAATGCACAGGCCCCCAGGCTGTGGCCTCCATCCAGGGATCTTTTCCTTTCATTACTTTTCCAACTATCTTTGAAGGTCAAGAGTAAAGAGTAAATGATAAAATATTTACCTCTAAAACTTTATTTTAAAAATAGTAATTGATATAGAAGGGGCAGTATCTTTATATAATCTTCCCTTTCAGTTTCTCATGAAGTCAGAATGTGGAAGAGAGAGCTAACCAGAGGACGCATCCAAACATATAAACTTACTTAGTTCCTAAGTAAAAACGATTAGTACATTCAACATGGCTAAATAGAGGAGTAGTCACATTGGAGCTTCTCAGAGAAAATCAACTAAAATACAGATAATTGGAAGAAATGGAAGGATATACATTCTGATGTCAAAGTCAATCTAAAATAAGATTGTAGATCAGACAAAACATAGGCTCAGGACTTCATAAAACAGCTCACTAGCTCACAGGGCTGCCAGTGGAGTTGCCACCTGTGCACCAAGCAAGAATCATCACACTGTGAAGACTTCAAGAACTGATAGACTGCAAAAGTGTGGCTAACTCAAGCCAAACAGGGTAGATTTGGGATATAATGAACCTTGCTTTGTTTGCCTTCTTCCATACAGAGGACACTGTAGGCTGGCAGCAAATTTGCCAGCACACACAGGGGTGAACAACCAGGAAACTGCTCCCTTCCCAACAGATGAGAGGTAGCTTTTTTTCCTCTGTCATGTTCCTACCTGCTAACTGGAAACCCTAGTGACAGCAAAGTTAGGGACTATAGCACAATGGAGACAGTGAAAGAAGTGAGTGGTGACCACTGGCTGGAGAAAAAGATGCAGATTTGTAGAATTTAAACAACCTTGGGAGGTTTGCACTCAACCTGCTGGAGAGGAGACTGAAGAGGAACCAAGCAGCCTTGGGTTGTATGCACTGTGGTGACAGCACTTCCCCTCTGCCCCCAGCCCTGCAACAAGCCACAAGACACTATAGAGATGTGCCAGAGTGGGCAAGACAGAGGAGACTATGCAAAGATCATGAGGAGCCAACTGTACACAGGACTGGGAGCAGCCCCAGGCTGTATCTGCCTGAGGGTGCCACAGCAACTGGGAGAGCAAGGTAGAAACAACCACAGTAAGGAGACATGGCCAGGCCAGCAAGGAACATCCAGAAAGCTGCTGGCTGAAGACCTGCCCTAAGCCCCAGGTCCAAGAGGCTAGGATCAGACCCTTATTCAGCACTAATCCTACTGCAGACTTGCCAGGGTTACACAGCACGGTTTGGGGATGCTGCCTTGGACTACAACAGAACTGTGGACATCAAAGGAATTTTTATTTTTTTCTTTGTTTCATTTTTCTTTTTCTGTCTGATTTTTTTGAGGTTATGTAGGTTTTTACTTTTATTTTTGTTCTGTTCACTTGTCTTCTTTCTTTCTTAAACTATCTCTCTTGATTTTATGGTATTTTCATGTGAGTGAAAACTGTCTCTTGTCTTTCTGGTGTACTTCTATATTGTATTGCTTTATTCTTCATTCTTTCTCTCAGGCCCTCTTCTCCAGTTTCCCAAAGCTTGGGTGACCATCTTTTGTTCTCTAGCCTCAGCTCTATCATATTTCCCTTCATTTATCTCTCTGTTTTGTCCACTATCCCTCTCAAATCTCCTAACCCCAAGGTAAATTCACTCCACTAAGGGGAAACTTACTGCTTAGAAGTTCTTGGTTTATGTTGGATTTTGTAATATGTAACTATAGATCTTGCTTCTATGGTTAAAGGTACCAAATTATTAGTTACCACAATTTGTCAGTTTCTAGGCTGTGCTCTATGCAATCATTAATTAAAGAACAAGTCAAGCCCAAAGCTCATATGAGGGAGGAAATTATAAAGATCAGTGCAGAAATTAATGCAATTGAGACAAAGAAAAAAATACAAAGAATCAATGAATCAGAGTTGGTTCTTTGAAAGATTAAATAAAATTAACAAACACTTAGCCAAACTTATCAAGAAAGGAAAGACTCAGATCAATGCAATTAGGAATGAAAAGGGTGAAATTATAAAGGATCCTGCAGAAATACAGAAGATCATCAATACCTACTTTGTGAAACTGTACTTGAATAAGATGGAAAACACAAAAGAAATGGACAGATTTCTAGATACATATGAATTAGCAAAACTGAATCAAGAAGACATAAAAATTCTAAATAACTCAATACCAGTCCATGAAATTAAAGAAGTAATTAAAAGCCTACCAACAAAGAAAAGCCCAGGTCCTGAGGGATTCACTGCTGAATTCTACAAGAAATTTAGAGAAGATCTAGTGCCATTATTCCACAAATTCTTTAATGAAATTGAAAGGGAAGGAATACTCCCCAGCTCATTCTTGGAAGCAAGCATTACCCTAATATCAAAACCAGAGAAGGAGTCAACCAAAAAAGAGAACTACAGGCCAATCTCCCTAATGAACATAAACACAAAAATCCTCATTAAGATACTGGAAAACAGAATGCAGTAAATTATCCAGAAGATTATACATCCTGACCAAGTAGGATTCATCCCAGGGATGCAGGAATGGCTCAACATATGGAAATCAATACGTATAATACAATACTTTAAGAGACAAGGACAAAAATCACATTGTCATCTCAATAGATTCAGAAAGAACATTTGACAAAGTCCAACGTCCATTCGTGATTTTTAAAAAAAAAAAACACTACAGAAAATTGGAATAGATGGTCTTTGTCTCAATCTGATAAAAGCCATCTACAAGAAACCAATAGCCAACATCATACTAAATGGTCAAAAACTGAGAGTTTCACTCTAACATCAGGAACAAGACAAGGCTGTCTTTGATCACCACTCCTGTTCAATATAGTTCTGGAAACATTAGCCAGAGGAATTAGACAAGAAAAAGAAATAAAAGGAATAAATATAGGAAATAAAGAAGTTGTTAACATTATTTGCAGGTGACTTGATACTCTCTCTACAAAGAAGACCACAAAAATTCCACCAGAAGACTTCTAGATTTAATAACCTAATTTAATAGTATAGCTGGATACAAAGTCAACACTCAAAAATCCACAGCATTCCTGTATACAAATAACAAACTCCTTAAGGCAGAAATTAGAGAAACAACATGTTTCACAATAGCATTAAAAATAATCAAATACTTAGGAATCAATCTAACAAAGGAAGTAAAAGATCTTCACACTGAAAATTACTGTACTCTGAGAAAGGAAATCAAAGAGGATATTAGAAAATGTAAAGATATCCCTTGCTCTTGAGTAGGAAGAACCAATATAGTGAAAATTGCCATACTCCCAAAGTTGTTATACAGATTTTATGTAACCCTAATTAAAATATCATTAGCATACCTCACAGAACTAGAGAAAGCAATCCTAAAATTCGTTTGGAGCTAAAAGAGCCCTAGAATAGCAAAACCAATTCTGGGCAACAAAGTCAAGGCAAGGGGCATCACAATCCCTGACTTGAAATTATACTACAGAGCCATTGTGATAAAAATAGCATGGTACTGGCCAAAAAAAAAACCCCTCCAGCAAAACAACAACAACAACAAACAGAGATGAGGTTTAGTGGAACAGATTACAAGTTGCAGTAACAACCCTAAACACACTCAGCCACCTTGTGTTTAACAAAGGATGTGTCTTTAACAGATTCACTGGAAGAAAGACAGCCTCTTAAGTAAATAGTGCTGGAAAAACTGGCTTGAAGAGACATCCTGAAGAGACTAAAAGTAGACCCATGTCTTTCACCATGCACTAAAGTAAAATCAAAATGGATCAAAAATCTAATTAAAGCAGAAACACTAAATCTGCTGGAAGAGAGAATAGGGAGAACTCTTGGGTACATAGGTATATGCAAAGACTTCATGAACAAAACCCCAATTTCACAGGAAATACTATAAAGAATCAAGAACAGGGATCTCATCTTATTAAAAACCTTTTTCATAGCCAAAGAAATCACCAACAGAGTGAAAAGACAGCCCACAGAATGGGAAAACATTTTAGCCAGTTGTTCCTCAGAAAGGACTAATATCTAGAGCATATATAGAATTGAAATAATCAGATCACCCAAATTTAAAGACCCAGTTCAAAAAATGGGCATCTGATATGAATATGCACTTCTCAGATGAAGAGTTATAAGCGGCAAACAAATATTTGAACAAATGTTCAGCATCACTGGTCATTTCATACATGCAAATTAAAACAATATTGAGATTCCATCTCCAGAAACAATGGTTATTATCAAGAAATCAACCAAGAACAAATGTCAATGTGGCTGTTGGAAAAAAGGAATGCTTCACTGTTATTGGGTGTGTAGACTGCTGTAACTTGTGGAATTCAAAAAACTAGAATTAGAGGTGCCATTTGACCCAGGTATTCCCCTTCTGGGTATCTTCTCAAGAGAATTAAAAACATCATACCACAGCAATATACGCACACCCATGTTTATAGCAGCACAGTTTGTAATAGCTAAGTCTTGAAAACAACCCTTAAGCCTCTCAACTAATGAATAGGTATAAAAGCTGTGGTTTTTTGTACAATGGAGTACTACTCAGCCATAAAGAAAGATAAACTTGTGACATTTCTAGGTAAATGCATGTACCTTGAGACCATATCTTAAATGAAATAAATTGGACACACACATGTAAATAAATATTGCCTTGTCTCTTTGGTGTGAGAAACTGAAAGTGTATATAAGGACCAAAATATATAATAGTATTGTGAAATAGGAAGGAATTGTTCAAAAGGAAATGGAAACTGGGTGGAGGGAGGGGGAATAAGGAAAAAGAAATGATAAAAGAAGGATAAAATGGAAAGAAAACTTTGTAAATAATGAGGGGAAGAGGGATGGGGGGAAGGGGAATGGAAAAAAGATGAATCAAGATATATCATGTACAGGTACAAATTCCCTATTATTATGTGTA